CCGCGCGTCTCCCAGCTCCGCCAGGGCGAAAGCGTGGAATCAGCTCGTTATACCCATTGTAGTTCCTTTCTTTGTTCAAAAGGGGGTTCCTTAAAGGGACCTATAAGGGTATCTATAGGGTTTAGGGGGTTTAGGGTTTACCTATAGTCTCCATTGTAGTTCCTTTTTTTGGTTAACCAAATCTGGGTTGTAGTTTGGGGGCCCTGAAGAGTATTTATGAATAGGTACCTCTTTGGAAGCAATAAGGGAAATTTTAAAGTTTCCCCATTTGCCACCTAGAAATTTATATTATGGGATCCTAACCATAGAATTGGTTAACCAAAAAAGGAACTCCAATGGAGACTATCGATAGTTCCCCTGGCTTTGCCTGGGCCGCCAGGTTGCTTCTCCTAGGGTTTACACCCTAACCCCTAACCCCTAAAACCTAAAACCCTAGACCCTAAGACCCTAAAGCCGCCTAAAACCCTAAAGCCCTAAACACTATACACTAAAACCCTAAACCCTAAAACCCTAGACCCTAAAACCCTAAACCCTTTGCGAAGGGCCTGACTCCGATCTAAACTTCGAAGACTCGATCCGGCTTCAGCATTCGGCGCCGATTAGGGGAAGTTCTCGACGTAAATCCGAGTCCCTTTTGGGGCTCCTTAAACGGATCTATAAGGTGGTTCTCTAAATTCGGGTCCCTTGTTAGGGCTCCTTAAACGGATCTATAAGGCATTCTGTTTCTATAGGCTCTCTTTGCTGGGTTTAAGGCTGCTGAATATTCAATTGGCTGTTGCACCGACCGAAAACGCCCAGAACGCATCAAGACGCGGTAGCTAGACAAAACCGAACCCACGGTTCCCTACCTATAGGGTTTAGGGTTGAGGGTTTTAGGGCTTAGGGCCTTTAGGGTTTTGGGTTTTAGGGCTTAGGAGTTTAGAGGTTTGGGGTGGCGACTGAAGAGGCACCTGCAGTGTAGGCAACGAACCAGAAGCCCTGACATCCGGCACGCAAGGGACCAACGGTAGATGTCGGCATGAGCATTCTGCATCGCCACGTCCCAGACATCGGTTTAGGGTTTAGGGTTTAGGGCCTAAACCCTAAACCCTAAAGAACAGAACAGGGTTTAGGGTTTAGGGTTTAGGGCTTAGGGTTTATATCTGTCATGGCTTCCAGCTGTTGCGGCGCAGCATTCTGGGTCCGACTCCTGTTGCAGCGTTGGCTGCTTCTTAGCTTACCCTAACCACCTACTATTTGGGTGGTTGTCAAAATTATGGTCCCTTTTTTTTGGGTCCTTATTACAATACGGCACCACTTATTTAGGGTACCCCGAAAGGGACCCTAATTTTGACAACTCCCCATTTAGGGCCTTAGGGGCTCTAGTACCCTATAGAGTAGGTAACTGGGGGGTTAGGGTTGGGCAGTCGGAGGAATCCGCTGCCACGAGCCCTGGTGCCGTGCACAGGCTTGTCGACACCAGTTGCGATGCTGCCCTGCGCCTCGCTGCTGAGGAGAAGCCTCCCACTGGCCCCTCCACGGTTTCGGGCTTAGGGTTTAGGGGTTTAGGGTTTAGGGTTTAGGGATCCCTTAAAGGATCCCCTAAAGGAAACTTCCAAGGATCCCTCAACAAAGTACCAGCTTGGCCCCCGAAGGTGCTTAGAGTCTAAGCTGAACTGATGCCAATTCCAACAGGGGCTGTCAAGCAATACCAGTGCTACCCAGAGCGGGGGTTTAGGGTTTGGGGGGTTTAGGATTTGGGGGTTTAGGGTTAACCCTATGCCTCCAGGGACTTTGTAATTGGGTCCTGAAGGGGTCTAGGCCCTAACTTTAAAGTGCTTGGAAGCATAGGCTACCTATTCCTAAGCTTATACCAAAAGCCGTCGAGAGTACTGGGCTGGCCACGAAGGAAATGTCCAGCCGTTGGAAAATCAGTGGGCACCTGAGTGGTGTTCTTCTCGTCTCTTTCCCCTAAACCCTAAACCCTAAACCCTAAACCCTAAACCCTAAACCCCAAACCCAAACCCTTTTCCAAGCTCTCAAACTCCGAGGACCCCAAACCCCAAAACCCAACACCTGAAACCCTAAACCAAACCCTAAACCCTAAAAAGCAGAATCTCTAGACCGCCAGGGTTCCTGAGCCCTAAAGCCCCGAGACCATTGAGAGAAAAGGGCACAGTCTGCTTGAATTTCAGGAGCCTCCGAACCTAAAAAAGGCATAAGGGTGCACTTGGGCTTAGGGGTTTAGGGTTTATAAAGGTTTAGGGGTTAGGGTTTAGGGTTGGGTGCTACTGGAGAACTGGGGAAACCCACATGTTTAAGGATCCCAGTTCTCTCTCTCTCTCTCTCTCTGTCTCTCTGTCTACAAAAATATATATGTATATACACACATACATATCACAAAATCATGTGCTTTTCTGTAGTATTGATATTACTTATCAAGCTGATATCTACTGTGACTATTTATCCTCACGTACTCAAGTCATCCTACAGTAGACATATTGCTGAGTGACGAGATTCTGCAAATCCGCAACGAGGAACATCTACCATGACTTCCATAGTTTTGGGTACTTAGGAAGCCCTACTAAACCCAAAGCAAATAATATAGGGGCCTGAATAGTTAGAATAGGGTTCTGGGGTCCTTTATAGTATAGTTACAACAAGGAACCCGCAAAATAATATGGGTAATTATTGAGGCCCCTACATTACTATCTAAACCCTGAACCCTAAACCCTAAACCCTAAACCGGTTTAGGGTCTAGGGTTTAGGGTTACATGCTGCGCAGCTTGGTCGTATCACCGTGTGAGGTCGACCCTTCGAGTGCTTTCGGGTAGCGGCCTGTAACCTCAGATTAGAGTTAGGGGTTTAGGGGTTTAGGGGTTTAGGGTTTAGGGTTTAGGGTTTAGGGTTTAGGGTTTAGGGTTTAGGGTTTAGGGTATCGGGTTTAGAGTTTATGGTTTAGGGGTTTAGGGTTTCATGGTACAAAGAAGAGAAGGTTCCTTTTGCAGGAGATGCTAATAATCTGGCTTGGCTAGGTATGCCCATACATGTACTTAGGACCCTCCCCCAAGGGTCCAAAAGACCCAATAATCAGGTTTCGAGGTTTCGGATAGTAGTTATGTAGGTTACGATTTGGGAGAGTATATGATTATTAGGTACTTGGGCCCTGACACTACCGTGAACCCGACTTCATCCAGAATTGGAAACAAACCTAGGCTTGGGCTTACGAGGTATTACCCTAAGGCTCATGGACCCCCACAGCGAAAGCCCAAACCTTAGCCCCCAAAACCCAAACCTTCCCTAGAAAGCCCAGAGCAGCAATACGAGCGTTACTATTTGAGAGAACCCTGAACCCTAAACCCCTAAATCCGTATGATTAGTAGGTACTTGGATGCTTGGGGCTTTGTGACAAAAGCCAGTCTTGCAGTCCCGTGATGGAGCCCAGGCTTTGGGCTTAGGGTTTAGGGCTCAGGGGGTAGGGGGCTTATTAGAGTTTAGGGTTTAGTGATCATCATGTGTTCTCGCAAAGGACTATCTGACCTCGACGTCCTCAGCCCAACGAAACCCAAGTCGGCCTCATCCCCCGGATCCTGACGCCCAGCAATTCTAAGGTTAGAAGTATGGGCCCCTAATATGGACCCTGAGGCCTTGCTAGGGACCCTTAAAGGTACATATAGGGTATATAGTAGGTGTATAAGGATCCCAGGGTTAAGGGCCCGTGCTAGGGGCCCATGGTTTCAACCGTAGATCAATGGCAATGCAACTGTTAGCAAAATAACCCTGTCAGAAAGAAAGACCAATAAGCAAAGCCTGTAATGTAGAATAATCGTTTTTTTGGGGGTTCTTTATTGCAAATAAAGTGTCATATACCTCCAAACCCTATTTTGATTATTAAGGCCGCGGTATTACCTTTGGTATGGAGGAACCGAGTTCGGTTTTCGGATCGTTGGGGAGTGGGGAAACCCCTAAACCCTAAACCCCTAAACCCCTAAGCTCTAAACCCCTTAAGCCCCTAAACCTTAAACCCTAAACCCTAGGGGTATCAGGCTGAGGGGCATGAAGGTACCCATAACCCAGCTTACTGGTCGCCTCATCCTTTATGTAGGGCTTTAAACTGCAGCGCTTGGATCTTGACGCGGGTTGGGGGGCTGAATTGATGCCCACTCTTGCCTGGCTGCCACAGCACCCTCCCGCAGCAAGAAACCACCAGAATCCAGATTAATGTAGGGGCTTATTAAAGTTCCAAGACTCTTTTGGAGGTTCCTTATTATAAGCATCGCAAAAAAAAAGGCCCCAAAACCCTATTCTAATTATTAAGGCCCGCGTATTACTTCGGCTTTCTCTTTTGCGACCCTCGTCTCCCTTTCCCACCCAAAGCCTGCAGTCTTCCAAGTGTAGGGCTTCCCCCAGAGAGACAGGGTCGCAGGCATGGATAAGCAGCGCTATAACCCAAACCCCCGGAAGCATCTAAAAAGTAGATCCCCCAATTTGGGACCCTATACTACTAAGGGGTACTCTATAGGAACCTCCTTAAGGGCTCTACTTTCTAGATCCTCCCGGGGCTCTGGGAATATAAGGGCCGTGATTTTGGGGATTCCTCATTATAGTATGATATACCCCAAAAACCCTATTCCAATTATAAAGGCCCCTACATGAAGTACCTTCAAAGTGGATTCTACGTAGAGAACAGCTAGCCCTCCGTACTAACTCCCCTGATGCTCCGAATAAGCCCTACACCCTAAATGCTACAATCCTGAACCCTAAATTGCCCTAAAACGGCTTTTGGGCTTGGAGTTGAAACTAGTTAGGAAATGAGGGGCTATTCGTGAGGGGTATACACTGGTCCGTAAACGCCCTAGACCCAAAAAAACAACAGGAGTCTAAGGTTGGAGCTTTGACCATCATTACTACTATCCTTATAGGGCCTTAGGGTTCTTGATTCCAGACATAGTATAATTTGACCCTCTTCCAATGATTGAGGCTCCCAAAAAAGGACTGCTGGAATTCCGCGGCTGTGCAAGGACGAGTTCTATCTCCTCGACGAGAGCTCCCGTGGCACCGACGCCCGTATCCCAGACTCGAGCGGCATGAAGCCTATGTAAGGTTTAGGGGTTAGGGTTGAGACTTTAGGGGTTGAGATTGTAGTGGTTGAGCCTTTAGGGGTTGAGACTTTAGGGGTTGAGATTGTAGTGGTTGAGCCTTTAGGGGTTGAGACTTTAGGGGTTGAGATTGTAGTACTTGAGCCTTTAGGGGCTGAGACTTTAGGGGTTGAGACTTTAGGGGTTGGGATTTAGGGTTTGTGAGCCTAAACCCCTAAACTTAAACCCTAAACTCTAAGCCCCTAAGCCCCTAAACCATAAACCCCCTAAGCCCTGAACCCTATATCCTAAACCCTAACGCTACGTAAACCACATAGGGTTTAGGCGCACCGATCAAATCCCCGAAGATCACCGGCACATGCAGCACCCTACTATTGGGGCCTCAATAATTACCTAGGTTATCTGCCCTGAGAAAGGGCTTCTTCTGAAAGTTTAACCTTTCATTTCCCTGGCTTATTGGGAAACTAAGTTATTTTGGGGGTTCCTTATTGTAATTATCGTATAATATCCACCCAAACCAAATTCTGATTATGAAGGCCCCTATACCCTAACCTAAACCCTTATAGCCCTTATGGAACCCGTTAACGGAACCCTATGAAACGCTATTGTAATTTCTTCAGGTATAGCTCTCTATATTTATGTATATATGTATGTGTGTGTGTGTGTTTGTGTTTGTGTGTATGCATAAACGTATAGACAAAGACACAGCCTTGACATCCTGAACCCTGTGACCGCAAAGCATCAGCAGAAGAAAAACGGATTTTCTCCCAAAGCTTCGGAGGCCTGGATTTGCAACGAGCAGTTGGCGTGCCGCCGGCCAACGCTTCTGCCGGGACTTCGCAAGATGCGCGTGAGTCTTCGGAGGGTGTTACGCGTGGCTTGTTCCTGGTGTGTGTCTTTGTATAAGTTGTGTTCCTTAAGAGTTGCCTAAAGCCGAAGCCCTAAAGGCCCAAACCCTATTCATGGGACCCATGAGAGGCGAATGAGGGTCATACCCCTCGGGATCCTACTCTTCACTTCGAGGATCAGGGGACTCAGAGAGCAGGGTCATAACTGGGGTTAGAAGTCCCCCAACTGGTGTTATCCTAACTTCAACCTTACTTACGACCTTGCTTACGAAGTCCCTTGGGCCCTTCAGTAGGGTTTGCATCAGGATTTCATGAAGCGCCCGTTGCTGCCTTAGCAGTTTTGGGTCCATTGCCGTCAAGGTATGAAGCGGGGTCTCTCAATAATGTAGGCCGTTTCGCATGTAGGTCAAGTCATGCCACCGCGGATCCACATCAACATTGAGGAAGTGTACAAACACGAGCCCTACATGAGGTACTTGCGAGGCCGCCTAAATCCCGACACCCCTAAAATCCTAAAAAACCTTAAACCCTACGCCCTTCAAACCGCCTGCCGAGACCCGAAACCCTAAGCTTGCCAGACTCCCGAAAAGAGCGGCCCCGAAGCTCTGTAAAGAGTGGAATGCCAGGGGATGCTTCCATACCACCGCCTGGTCCAGCATCAAGTGTGGCCTGGCAAAATCTTAGTTCTCCAACAGCCAACCTCTAAATTTTTGGGGTTCTTATAGTTTAGTAGTAGCCTGAAAGTTTAACCTTTTACTTCCCTGGCTTATTGGGGAAGTAAGAAAGTTACAAGCCAAAGCTCAAGAGGGTTCAGGGTCTAACAAGAAGAAGAACAGCCATGATGGTAAACAGTACTACTTTTCCCCAGGACTTTCTATCATGATAACAATGTAGTAGCCTCATTGTTAGTATTCAGGCCCGTAGGTTAGGTCGATGGAGCTACATGTAGCAGTTCTTGACATGCTTGGCCTCAGGGTTCTTGCTGCAGCTTCGCTTCTTGCACCTTTTAAACACGAAGCATTCATGCGGAGTCTCGACAGCTGGCAGTATTCGTATGGTATACCCGAGCACCCCCCTCTTCCAAAGTCACACGCAGACTTCCCCCACCCGCTTCCAGCGTAGGGAGTCGGCATTTCATGTTTCTTTTTGGGTGCGGGGTGTCAGGGTCGGGTCTCTTGACGTTTAATGCAGGGCCCTAAATAATTGCCAACATTATTTGGGGGGTTCCTTAGTAGAACTGTAGTATAAGGGGACCCAACAGCCTATTCTAACTATTAAGGCCCTTACATTATCTACAGTGCATACCCCGCATGACATGGAGGCTTCACTGAAGAGCCTCCTAAGTCCCCTTGAGTTCGGAAGTCTGCTCTGTTTCAGTGCCATGGAACTTGTACCCGCTTCGAGCCCCCAATGAAGCTACTTATCATCCTACTCGCTCCGTCCCCTGATCCTAGAAGTATAACCCTGCAACCTGAACACTGAAGGCCAACTTGATGAACCCTGAAAGGAACCCTCACACACCTACTTACTGAGCCACTAAGTTCTGGAGTGCCATTTCTTCGTTTTTGGTTGAAGGGGAGAAGCGGGTGGGGCCTGATCCTTACAGATACCAAACCAGTAGTGTATGAATTTTCCCGCTGGATCCTTCAAACCTGATCGTTTCTCTGAGCCCTAATCCCGACAAGCCTAACACCTCGATCCTAGACCCTAAAGCCTTAACGCCTAGGTCCTAGACCCTTAGCACTAAGCCTCCTGACGCCATGCAGGTCGCACCTCCACCTCGGGGGGAAGCTGCGAGGCCAATCACGAAATTTCGGTGAAGGTTTGAGGTTTAGGGATTTAGGGTGTTGGGGTTCGTGGTTTGTGTTTAGGGCTTTGGTTCCGTGCTACGTCAAACCATAGCTTTACGTCTAATTGCTACAGATTCAATGCGGGATGCCACCAATAATGTAGGGGCCTTAAGAATTAGAATAGGGTTTTGGGGGTTCCCGATTATAACCATAATATATTAAAACCCCCAAACCCTATTCTAATTATTAAGGCCCCTATATGATTCGAAGGGTGAGACCGAAAAATTGACGGAACTATTTGCAAGGGAGGAACCCGGGCACGGCAGAGGAGGGAGCCGTGCGGTTCTTGAGTGCTACCGGTTTGGGGTTTAGGGTTTAGGGTTTAGGGGACAAACGATGAAAACTGGAGCGACACTCTTTCGAGCGCCAGAACGCTGCCGACAGGAGAACAGGCCGCAGTCACGAGAGTAGTGAGTAGCGTCAGCAGAGGAACAAGTGACAGACAGGACAGTTGTAGCAACGATCGACCGGACAGTGACTGACAACGATGTTTGATATTAGACAGGGTGGACGGCCATGTGGGCAAGAGTAAGAGTGCCAAGACTACAAAAATGGTTGCAGCAGTACAACTACTTCTAGCCGTGCTCTTACGCTCAAGGTTAGCAAGAATCATAACTGTGATGTTGATGGCCAAAAGCTCATTAAGCGCCAGAGACTCCTCCTTAAACCCCGAATCCCAAACCCCCTAGAAGCCCCAAAAGCCGCTTGTAGAATCTTTACAGAAGCCTGATACAAGAGTTTAGGGTTCAGGGTTTAGGGAAGGGATTTAGAGCCCTTTAACAACTCAACGACCCCTTGCAGAATCTCGACGGAACCGATCGATAGAAACCGTCCGGAACCAATTCCAAATCCCTTTACTAGGAGCTTTTTAAAACCCCTGTAGAACGGGGTACCCCGGATTTCTTATGTCACAGCTCAGTTCTTAAACCAATGACTCCTAAAGCAGGGCCGTTGCCGTACCCTTTAGGATTTAGGGTTTAGGGTAGGACCCTAGTTCAAACCTTTTGGAACCATTTTCGAATCCAGAATTTTTTCAGAACCCATACAGGGGTCGGACTACTTAGTGAGTATCCCAGCACAGCCCTTGTAGAATTTCAACTAGGTATACCCACAAAACCCTCTTCGAATGACTACCTAGACCCTTAAACCATGAACCCTAAACCCTAAACCCTTAAACCATGAACCGTACACTCTACAGGCCTCTCTCGGTGGGGTGGTGACCGCCGACTTCGCCAGTGGAACTCTGGCGGTGCCCGGATGGCATAATCTGAAAGCAGGGGTTTAGAGTTTTGGGCTTTAGATTTAGGAATTTGGGTTTAAGGCTGGGGAGTGTAGGAGGTTTGGGCCTTTTGGGGAATAGGGTTCTGAAGAGTTTGAAAAGGTTCTCAAGCTGGGGAGATGTTTGTTGTCGTGCCCGTTTTATGAGAGTGTTCGAAGAAGTTGGCCAAGAAGAAACTAGTCTCAGGTTGAATTTACAGAAGACCCTTCTTGGAGCTGTAGGGTTTGATTGGGATTGCGTTAGGCTTCCGGTCACAGGCGACCCTACATCCTTTGACTTTTCTGGGTTCTTAAGGCTGTTCAGGATCTAGAAGTTTAGCAGGGTAGGAATTACGGTTTAGGGTTTAGGTGCCGTTGGATTCGTTTGTGTGTTTGTTTCCGGTGGGCATTAAACCCTCACGAACACCCCCACTCCCCACCCCCCCGTGAAAAGCCTGGTCACATCGGGCCGTCAGCAATTGTCTAAGTAAACATCATAAACATGCCCCGGAAAAGGCCTGGTCTAGCTATGTAGCTGAATATGCCTTTTCAGCATGAAGCGCGTGATGTGCCCATGTCGGGAAAGATGCCATGCCTTGGAGGAAGTTTTGGCAAAACGGGGGACCCCAATATGAATCCTCCGTGAAAGAGAATCTTCGCAGCATATTTAGATCCCTTAAACGAACCCGATGATAGATCCTTTACGGGATCCTGAGTATGTTTCAGGTATATTCCTAAACTGAAACTTAGGAGTAGAGTGTGGGTAACCTTCAACCTATTTGGTGTATTATAACCCCTATATAATCTTGCAGATTAACCTTTAGTTCTCTTGCGATACCGGACAAGTGAGAAAATGCTTTCTTGGAGGCTTGAAAGGTTGAATTTCGCTATGGCCGTGCGTGCGTGTCTGCGCGCTTTGGCGCCAGCTGAAGGGAATCGGGGGGTCAGGGTGTAGGATTCAGGGTTTTTTGGTGTTCGGGCTAAAGTTTCTAGGGCTTTGTGCAGTTTTGGGGTAGGGCCGGAGGTCAGAGACCCTCATACAGCAGCGGGTTTACGCTGTTTGAGTGTCCTCTTGTTGGAGGGCTCTGCATAAACCCTAAACCCTAGACCCGAAAGTTGGATTAAGAGCTGAGGGGAGGGAGGTCCTCAACCCTTGAAGCCGAAGGCCCTAGGCCCTAGGCCATAACAAATCATATTGCCGTAAAATTCTTGTTTCAGCGTAGATGCCCCAAACAAAGATGGGGCACCAGGAGGACCATGAGGGTATTGAAGACCACGACGACCAAGACGACCTCGACTACTGACCACCACGATGACCGGGACGGCCACGACCAGTAGGAGACCATCAGAAGACAACCAGGAGACCAACCACGCCACGGCCCAAATGCTTTCCCCCACATGCCTGCGAGATTCACTGGGCCAAAAACGCTTCCACCATGCACTGGCAGATTCCGAGACATGCATAAACTGCTTCCTTTTGTTGCAGGACTCAGGACCACGGCCAAAATGATTCACCCCATGTACTGATGAAATTCAGAGACATGACCAAAATTCTTTTGCCAGGGATTCGCTGTGAGCCTGTCGCCCTGCCCGACCATGCTAACCAATTCTCCCAACACCCACCGCCAAAATCCATAGTATGCACCATATTGTTTGAGCAAATAAATCCTGAACGGCAATCCCTAATCCCTAAACCCAAACCCCTACTCCTTAAACCCTAACCCCTAATCCCTAAACCCTAAACGCTAAACCGAAACCTCTAAATCCTAAACCCTAAACCCCAAACCGAAACCCCTAAACCCTAAGTCCTGGGCTTTCGGATCTCCTGAGGAGATCGCCTGTGCGCGTCGCCGGACTCTGAGATCTTCCCGGGTGAAGGTTTTACGAGGGGTTTAGTCTCCATCTAGGGTATATAAGGTTTAGGGTTTGAACAGCGCCGATTCGCAGAGTTGGGCCTGCCCCCTTGTGCCCGGGGCGTCACCACCCAACTGCATCTATGCTCGCAAGCACATGGCTGGACAGCCGCACTATTGCGCGGTTTGCCGCTGTGGGGCGGCGTGGCGCGGGACCTCGAGACGGCATTTGTCCAAAGGCACGGTGTATTTGCTGAGGCCCATGCTGCTGCCAAAGAAAGCGTGGAAGGTGATGTGAGGCATCGCCTTGCCGCTGCGCCACGTGGACGGCTTCGCGGGCCTCTGCGAGCGATCCATTGTGCTGCATTTTTGAACAGCCTATATCGTCGCAAGAACCTGCTCGCTGCGAGGATCCCGTTGAGCTTTAAGCAGGTACCATGTCTTTCTCCATCTGGCAAGCTGTGCTGCACAACAGAAACCCCGACAGCGACATGACACTGAACTGTTGTGTCCGTGGGTTGCATCTGCATCCGGTCTTCAAGTCGGCAGGCGGTTGAGTCCAAACAGGGTTTCTGGTAGTTATTCCTTGATTTTGCGGCGAGCACACGCTTGCCCCATCTTGCCCCTGTGTAAACCTTGAGCAGAGGCGATCCTTTCGCAGATTATCCTAAGTCATGGGGGTTATCAGAGGGCTTTTCAATCAGGTTCTTACTTTCGGGGGGTCGGAAGAATGACCCGTAGTCTTTCTCGGAGTTCCTATTAAAGCTAATAGTAGAATGTGGCCCAAAAGCCTTAAACCCCGAAACCCTAAACCCCTAAACCCTAAACCTAAATGGTAAGGAGCCGTCATGAATAGGGCTTTCTTTGGTGGGGGGTTGCCAGGGTTTAGCAAGGATTTCTACAAGCGTTCCTTGAAGGGCTCCTGTTGTATGGCTTCCTTTGAGGGCACTAGCAAGGGTTTCTTTTTGCAAGGGTGGCTATAAGGTGTTCTTTATGGTTGTTGAACAGGAGTTGTTTAATGGGGTGGGGGGGGCCTTTCTTTGAGATTTGATCATCACAAGAAGCTCTCAAAGCTTTGTCGGGTACGGTTTCGACCGATGGTCTTGCTTGCCGTTGCTCTTTTCGGGTTTGCGCCACCACCCTCATCCCAATCAATAATAAATGCACGTAGAAATCGCCACCATAGGTGCAATTTTCGCCGACCTCCAGCAATCACCGGCATTGGCTCATGGCACAACAAGCCATGGGCGCATCCCTCGCAGTGACGACGTCCTTAACATGCATGTACCCACTAAAGCCCTGAAGCCCTACAAACCCGATAATCGTGTCGAATTCCAAGCAACTTTCAGATCCTTGGCCTCAAACCTAACATGGCAAGCCCCTATCGCCAACACCCCAATACGAAAATCCTTGAACTCTAAGCCCCTAAATCCTAAATCCAAAGCCTCACACCCTATGATTGGCACAAAGGCCTGGAAGACGAATTGTTGTCTGAGGCTGGGGGGCCTATGTTCTTAAATGAGGACCCTATTTTCCGCAGCATCCTTCTACCATACAAGGTTTCATAATCCGTAACAGTGTGTCCTTATCATCCCTTTACAATCTTACGATGAGGTGCTCCGAAATTCTTGTTCTAATCCTGTAGCCCCTATATTAATAGACGTTCCGTATTGTTTGTCCTGTCGAGCCGTGGCTCTGCTTGCGATAAATGTATTTGTTTCTTGCTTCTGTCTGTTTTACCCCATCAACTACCTGCAAACCCCAAAACCTAAACTACCTACAGCTCCAAGATCCCAAGAGGGTTTAGGATTAAGGGTTTAGGTTTAAGGCGTATCGGGCGTAGGGACCTTGATTTAACAAATTGTTTAAAATCGAGAAGCTAGCGGGTGAAAAAAGCTAACGACGTTGAAGGTTTCGGGTTGCAGGGCTCAGGGTTTTCCTGGCCCAGGTGTTGCCTGTGTTCTTGTGGTTGTTCTTGTTGTTCATGTTGCTGCTGCTCTTGCTGCCGTTGCTCCTGCTGCTGCTCCTGCTGCTGCTGCTGCTAGTGTGGTTGTTGAATCAGAAAGCCTGGCTCTCCTTGCTTCGTCTTGGCTCCAGCATTTTTTCCAAATAGGACGCTGAGGTAATCCAAAGAAGCCTTCCACAGCAGCACCGAATCCGTGTATACTGGGCCCGATCAGCCCGAAGGCCCTTTGGTGAAAAACTTTGCTGCGTGCCCCGAAGTCCCTAGCAAGCCAACAAGCTTCCCGGAACGGTACAGCTTATCGAGCTCTTGTAGTGGAGCTCCAGAAAGAGCAACTAGAAAAAGATGGTGGCTGCAACAAACCATGATCTACCGCCTAAGCCCACACCTTAAAAAGCGTGAGGCAAGGACAGACAAGCCTTCTTCCGTAGCATCTCGAGCTGTTCACAAAATCTTAGGACACAAACCCCATAAAAATCGTCCAGGAAGCCTTCAAACCAGAGACACGACGATCCCAACATCCCCAGAAAGCCGCTGCAGAGACAAACCGGAGATCTGCCATGAACTCTAAACCCTAAACCCTAAACCGTCATGGAGAAGTCTCGATCGTCGGTGCTGGTGCCCGTGTGCTCCTGGGACTCCAACGAAGGTTTTAGTGAAGTCCAGAAAGTGGGAACATGGAGCAAGGTTTAGGGTTTAGTATGGATTTATAGTTCTGAGACCCAGCAAGGACACAAGCACAAGCATTTTCTAGGGATATCCCTACCTTTTGGGGCTTCATTATAAGGGGTTTTATATGGGATATCCCTATCTTATGTTCTGCTTATGTGCTATTTGGTGTCCGTAATAGTGAACCCCAGAAAGGTAGAACATAGAGTAAGGATGATTTGTGCATGGATTCCCTCTACTGTACCTTATGGGCATGAGGATACTAATGTTCCAACTTCCTGATACCTGTACCAGCACGCATCCCAGACCCATGGATGGATCCAGCAAGTAGATCCTAAACCCTAAACCCTAAACCCTCAACCCTATAAACCCTAAACCCGTATTAATTGGTTTCCTGTAAAGCTGCCTGCAACCCAATCAGGGTTCGACTTGCCAGATTCGGGGTCTTGGATGAAGTGCCACAACATATTCAATGCTTTGTCGGCACCTGTATTTGGCTTGGTTGAAGCCCTCCCTTATGTGCCGTTTTGATTTGTGCCGGGTGCCCTAACCCCCGAAACCATGAGAGAAGAGCTCCTTTAAAGGCTAATTCAACTCCAACTTTGTGCGCAGTGGCTTCCGAGGTGCCGCAGGAGGCGCATTGGCCCTGATCAGCACGGCCGGCATCATTCCAGCCCGGAACCCCAGTACCATCGCCCGACGAGTGTTTCGAACGTTGGGGGTTTAGGCAGCGAGATCCGGGCTCATAATATAGCTGCCAATGTCCAACATGATTCCTTGGGGGGTTCCTTCTTATCATTCCACTCTAAGGTACCCCGAAACCGTATTCTCAGTATTGAGGCCCCTGTATTAGTGTAGTGCGCGAGGAGCTGGAGGATTCCCCCGAAACCCTCAAACCCTCATAAGGCTTGGCTGATGCTTTCCCTCCCCCCTGAAATGGTCGGGGACACAGAGGACGAGCCAGACCTGGAAGCTGAGGTTTAGGGTTTAGGGGTTTAGGGCTTAGGGTTTAAGGTTTAGGGTTCAGGGTTTAAGGTTTAGGGCTTAGGGGTTTAGGGATTTAGGGATTTAGGGGTTTAGAGTCTAGGGTCTAGGGTTTAGGGTATAGGGTTTAGGGTTTTAAGGTCTAGGGTTGAGGGTTTAGGGTTTAGGGGTTTAGGGTTCAGGGTTGCTGCACCAAGTGCATGGAATTCATGAAGCAGTTCCGCAGCGGCGGGTACTGCTACCGTACTGCTGACTGTCCTTTTGAGGAATACCGCAGCCGATTCGTTTCGAAGCATTGGAAGATTGTTTTGCAAGATTTGCAAAAGCTCGCCCACAGAGATCAGCAGCTCCTCGATTCGAAGACCGCTCTTCACCAAGCACAGCAGGATGGAAGACACCATGTCTTTCAGCAACTCACTGACTTTTGAGGCTATCACGACCAGTTCCAGGACCACCTTATCATCACACAATTACTGAGTCCTAATCCCGATGTCTAGCTTCGACACTTGCTGTGGGAACTTCTGCAACATGCAGGAGCTTTCGCTACGATCCTTGCCATTCGCTATCATTGTTGCTATTAAGGTTACGGTGGTTGTTATTGTGATTGCAGTTGCTATGACCCCGACAGGGGTGGCCGGGTTGAACCGTAGGTTTCGGGTTTGGAGTTTGGGAGTTTACCGAGGTTTCGTAATCGATCACTGTATTCCAACCCGCTACCTTCTGTCTTGCAAATGCTAACACCTCTAACTCCAACAATCTTGAAAGCAGAAGTGACAGCAACTTGGCAGCTGCGTCGGTAGACTTTGATCATGTGATAGTATAGACTTGTAACCAAAGCCGCCATGACGACTACGTTGACCTCAATTCCGTCACAACCCTTATGAAGCATTACAAAACCATCAAACCAGCCAGCAACTAGATAACAAGTTCTCTGAATTAGGGTCCGTTTTTGAGTCCCCAATATAGTACGGCGCAGGACGCTTAAAGGGACCCTAACTTAGACAACTCCCCAGATAGCGCTATGTGCAGGCAATTGGCCTGGCTGCGGGCGTTGGCGGAGGTGAGCTCCAAGCCCTAAACCCCTAAACCCCTAAACCCTAAGCCTATACCCCTATATTCGAGACCTCTAAACCCCTAAGCCCACGGTGGTTTGGGATCTTCTCGCTGTGCTGGAACGGTCGTGCAATGTAGTGGCTGAGAAGGCACACACATTATGTGTGCATACATACCTACCTACATACCTGCCTACCTACCTACTTACCTACCTGCCTGCCTGCCTACCTACCTACCTACCTACCTACCTACCTACATACATACATACATACATACATACTTTTACATACTTTTACATATATATATATATATAGACACATGTATACACTTGCATGAATACATATATATATATATATATGCTACGTAGCTTATGGTTAGGGCTTGCATGGGGGCTTATGTGGGGTTTAGACGATTAGAAAGGGTGAAATGTCAGGATGGCTGCTGGGCCAGCGATTGAAAGGTGGCGGGGCGCTGAGCTCACAAGGCATTCAGTTTCATAGTGCAGACCTCTGCTTACCAAATGCCGTTTCTCTAAAGGCCTCAACATTAGAATCCCTACTGTAAACCTTGATAAGGGGACAGGGAACGAGGTTTATTAATCAGGGGTTTGCGTTAGGAAATCAAATTAGTGTGTGTTTGTTTGGTGTTTTAATGGTAGGAAAGAGTTTGAACGATTAGGGATTTGAGCTTTCGGGTTTCCACGGATCGAAAGTTTTGAGCTTGAAGGAGATAGAACTTGAACATGTGAGTCGAGGGTTGAGAGCTTGCAATTGTGTTTCACATACTGTGATAGTCAGGCTATAAGTATCCCAAACCTCCAAGTGGGGTTGTGAGTACCTCAAGTGAGGTCAGGAAGATTTAAGACTATGTTTGCCTTGCTCGTAACCAGACATCCCATACTTCCAACATGAAAACCCTAAACCCATGCAAGCCTGTGTCACGCACCACAAAACTTTTTCTTCAACCAACGTCTAAGACGTTCTAAGACTATAAAACCCATAGGTTAGAACTGCTGATGATATAAATCCTGCATTACCTTAAGGACCCTAAACTATGGGAACTATAGTATAATGCTTATTATGGGTAATTTGTAGGATGTGTATCAGCAACCGTACCCAAGAGCCTTCCCAGAGTTCCCCTGAGGCCGAGAGAAGGCGGCGAGGCAGCAAGACGTGCGAAGACGTTTGACGGCTTGGTGCAACTAACGGTTTAGGGTTTAGGGTTTAGGGATAAGGTCTACTTAACGGCGTTTGTATAAGTGTTGATAGAAAAGGGAGACTGTAGGGCTTTATACAGGGTTGGCGATAAGGGCTACTATCAGGCTTTACATGGGGGTTGTGTATTGCTTTGCAATAGGATTTTGCGGCATGTCCGTCCATGTTTATTACTGAATTTGGGGTTTTGGAGAGAATGACTTAGGGTTCGGGTTCAGGGTTAAAGTTTCTAGGGTTTAGGGTTTAGGGCTTTTTCAGGAGTTGGGGCTTCAGATGTCGGTTCGGGGAGCTTCCGGCAGAGAGTTCTGGGACTTGGTGTTTCAGGTTGAGACTGCAAGGAGTTGGAGTAGATGCCTCCGGGTGTTTGGCAGTTCGGTCGGGGACATAAGATTACTATAGGGGCCGTAAGAATTAGAATAGGGTTTTGGGGGTTCCTTATTATTGTAATTGTAGTATAATGGGCCCCAGAACCCTATTCTGTCAAGGCCCCTATATTCAGATTATGTGGTCTTTGGGTTCCCGCACAGAGCCCATAGAAGGCCCTTGAAAAACCCCTCAGCACACCCTTCTCGAACCCTTAAAGTCCCTTGCAAAAAACTCTCGGCAAGCCCCT